GTTCGCACTCCTCCACTACAGTGCTAAACCAGACCACCCCCTCTTCGCTTTTATCCTCCTCCCACATTGATACCTCTTGCTCCTCCCACTCCCCGTCTGCCAGACAGATCTCTGTTTTTCCCGCCTTTTCTTCAACTGTCAAGTCTCCCTCTAGTCCTTCTCCACTCCCTGTCACACACTGATGTTTCCCTTCTTTTCTCTTTTCCTCCATTTTGTTCACCACACTCTTTTTATCTGCTCCTTCACAGGGACTCACGGCCCACCAATCCACACAACATTTACTTTACTACTGATAAAAACCGCAACAGCTTTTTTTTCTTTCTCTCATCTTGTGAACATTCCAAACAAATATAAATCCCAGCCTATATTGGTCCCCTGCCTTGTTTTTTTAAAAGCAAAAAGTTTCAGATTATTTGCAGTTTAAAAGTTATTTTAAAATTATAACCGGAGAATATTTGGTACCTCTACTTATAGAATAATGATGACAACTATTAATAGGAAAGTTAATTAGGTAACATCTGAAAAGTTTATCTGGTATATTGGGATTGCATGGTTCAGTTATCATTTAGTGTACGTTTGGGATTCTTTCTTGCACCACACCTCTAGCTCTAATAGAGTATTGTGTTATGAAGAATATTAATAATGCTGCGGAACAATTACTGGTTCATTTAATAACTTATTAAAATTCATGCATAATTTAATGAAACATGAACAGACTTAATAAACGTCCCGATGTCTTGAAGAGTCTGGAAACAAAATGTAAGTGCAGCTGTAATATGCTTTGTTTCCAACCTAAAAAAATAAAACCTTTTGTAATATAATAAGCTTATATTGTACATGCTTACCTTTATCCGTAGAAATCATGCTGTTAGTCAAAGTATATACTTTTGAAACATAGCTTACAGTCCCTAGGGCTTAGAAAACACAGACACTTAATCTCTTAAAGGAAGATGAGTAGGCATGCACAATTATGTGCCACAGGGTGGTGTGTTAGTGGAAGGAAAGAAGTGATTTTGATATAAGTTTGCTACTGATATATCAAAACTTACACCAGCATCTGATCAAGAAGACAGATGTCACTTTTAATTTTAAATTCATTTTAAAATAAAATTTCATGTTTGAAAATGAGTCCCAGACATGATGTGCTGTACAGTTAATTGTTTACTCTTGACATGACTGACCTCCGTTTGCACAATTTTGACATTTAACAATTTGATTTCACAGCAAATGAACCATCACCATTAATGCTGACTTCATGATTAGAATTAGATTCAGTTGGAGAGCCAAATTAGCTTCAAATTTAGTTTGTGTGTCTGGGGGGAAAAGGAGGAGGCTATGAAAAATCTGTTCATTGGTTTTGACCTTATGTACCATAGGGCTTGCCTATATCGCTAGAATCGCATTACCCAAAAGAGGTGATTATGATATTTCTCTGAGGAGTAGAGCTGGTGCCCCAAATGGCATCTCCCTATCATTGAAATTTGTATATGTATTACTGGAAGCCAGCCAGGTAACGTTGGCACAAGAGATAGAAAATTTTACAAATAACTCACCCATCCCAGGCAGTAATATATGAAGATAAATCAAATGTTGAAAAACATGCCACTTTGCTGTGAGAACCAAAATCTGCTATGTGAGTCGTTGCACAGTTCTGCCTAAAGGGAGAGACAGAAGAGAAGGAGACAGGTACCCACAACACTTGTTTAATTTGAAACGACTACCATAATTGTTACAGGAAATTCAGTTCTAGATCCAAAATTCTACTGGCAGAGCTTTCAGCCCACCCAACCCTTTTCTGTTCTGCGATTCTTCATGCTATCCAAAAATTAGTTTTAGAAGGTTTCCCAGACAATGGTGGAGAAATGGGAGAACTGTGATGGCAGGAGGATCACCTTCTGCCAGGTTCTGCCAAATTCTACCATTCTACCAGCAAAGCCCCCCATTTGTTTCTATCTTCTTTTTGTGTTGTGTGGCCATTTTGGGGGGAGAAGCCATTATTGCAGCACCAGCCTTACCTTAGAAAGGATTGTGTTTTTAATCATGTTTAGATTTTCCGGGCTAATTCATCTTCTCCTTGTTTGGAGTTTACCGATGAACAATTTCTCATCTGATCTTCAGTTCATCATCTTGTGTCTAAGGGGAGGAACTGCATCTCTCTCATTCTTCATTATAAGTAGCATGGTTTTGTAGGTTTAAAAGGAAAGGAAACATGGGAGGTTTTCAGTAATAAAGCTACCCATACTTAAACAAGGACTGGGGTCTAATAAATAAAGTGGCCATCAATAAAAACCCATAGAAGAAACAATAACCTCTGAAAGAACAGAGCCACTGAGTCGTATTCGACCATTGCTGAACAGACTTTGTGTCTGAAAGTGAAGCCATATTTTCATCTCATTATTTAGTATCCTTCGACACATCTTGTATTTATTTATGAGAAGGGAGGGGAATAGGCCTTACTGAGAACACAAGTGTGTGGAAATTTAGATCTCCTTTACAAAACACAATCTAAATCCCTCCCACCCCTATATAGAGCACATCAGTGAAACACCCCATAGATCTCACAAGGACAAGAATGGCTGGACAGTGCAGTAGTATATTGAGTATGTGCCAGTGTCTCAGCTAGCATCAAAGGATTCAAGCATAAAAGGAGTCAAGGGTGATGGATTGTTGTTTTTTCAAGGGCATTACTCACTGTTAGTGTTGCCAAAGCTCAGAGCACTGTGTAGAGTCACAGGGAATTGTGATGCCTCCCCTGACCCCAAGGTTTTGTGACAAATTCAATGGCAAGTGGAAATGGAAGAGGAAAAGATGTGATTTTATGGTGTGTAGTACCTGGAACTACAGACTCTTAAGTAGCACCTGGGTTTCCCCGGCTCACCATGATGATGTTTCTGTGTGTGTTGCACACATTGTAATTGTTTAGGAGATAGTGCAGAAAACCCATGTCATGCATCTTACATTGATTTCCCACACAGACTTTCCCACATATTCTTTTGTGCCTGTTATAGTAGGTCCCACCACTTGATATCGCAAGAGATCACCCACAGGCCTCAGATTTTACTCATGAACTCTCAGGGAATGAGAAGCTGCTTGCTAACCTCATGGTGCAGTGGTTAAACTGCATTACTGCAGCCAAAACAGCTCGTGACCTGGGTTCAATCCCAGGTAGCCAGCTTAAGGTAGCCTTCTAACCTTCTGAGGTCAGTAAATTGAGTACCCAGCTTGCTGGAGGTGGGGCAATGAATAGTCTGCATAATTAAATTGTAAACTGCCCAGTGAGTGCTTTAAGCACCGCGGGGTGGTATATAAGCAGCGCACTCTGCTTTGCTTTGACCTGAAAAGGCTCAGCTCTGTTCAGGCTTCATCCTGTAAGCATACAGGGATGAAATGGGTTGGGTGGGGGTGGCCTATGTAAATCCTGCCCTCCATGTCCCATCTCCACCTGGAAGTCCTGCAGACAGAGTGTACTGTTTAGCAGAAAAGATTATATAGCTGCTGTAATGCACTTGCACTGTTTCTGTGTTTCACAGCCCTTTGCTATCAGGGTGGACATCCCTGGTAATGCTTTAAGCACGTCCAGATGAACATGCTTACAGCGCCTATGCACACCTTTATGCTGAGCAGGTAAATGTCTGCGGGACTTTCAGGTGGAGACAAAATGTGGAGGTTTCTTTTCACATCACCACCACCTATTCAGGCTGGACACCTGAACGGCTGGATTAAAGTTAAATATTACTGGTTTTAATCAAGTTGAGCTCTTCTCCTGCAGGATAGTCAACTACTGTTACAGTATTTTCTCTAGGCATTTCATAGTGTTGGCAAAGGGCTGAGGACCCTTAGAATCAGGCGACTATAAGGCCATCAGGTCCACTCCCGTGTTGTCTCTCTCTCTGGAGAGGGAGGGAGGGAGGGGGGAGAGAGAGAGAGAGAGAGAGAGAATATTTGGTAGCTGTCCACCTAAAATTAACAAATGTGTCCTAGACACTTATTGTTCCGTGATTCTATGTGCACAGTTTAAATGTGACACAAACTTCTTTCCTTCAGTGGAATGGAAAAATGTTTTTGTAAAAGATATGATATTAAAAGAGTTTAAAATATCTCTTCCATAATACATAAGGAAAGTGCATTCCTAAAATATTGTGATAGAAGTTAATAACTGAGAGCACCTGGGGCTCTGGGGGCTTCTTAGACACAAATGAGTTTCTTTCTGAAGCTATAAGGTTTGTTTCTAATTGTCATTAGCTGAAAGTGCACAAACTGTGCAAGCTGTGGTCAGGAAGTGGCAAGGTGTGGAAGTCCTTTGAGAAATTCTAATTTGCAGAAAAGTAAGGACTTATGATTTTAGACATCGCTTTGCAACCTGGCTAAATACTACTAGGAGTAATTTTCAATAGTTGAGTATGCAAACTACTTACATTCACTACCTAATGTTTCAAGGACTTGTTCCCCCTCCAAGAAGTAGGATTTGTGGAGGATATTTTAACTGATTTTAGTTCTCCTTTGTCTTAGTCAACATTTTTCTCTTTGCTGATCCAGATTTTGGAGTTGCCGTGTTACATTGTTTCTGATTGTGAAATCCCTGTGGGTCTGAACTTAGTATTGTTGCTTCATTAAGTGAAACAAATTAGCTGAAATGTGAGCCATCTGGAGTGAAAACAAAGCCTCCATGTTTTTTAGTGAGTTCATTTTATTATAGAAAGTATATGTTGATTTTAATTGCTTCCTAAAATAAATCACTTGCTGGCAATGCTGCTTTTTGGCAGAAATTCCATTATTATATTTTATCCTCTTTCAACCCCCTAGTGCTAAATTCAGTTTTGCGGAATTATTAAAAGATGTTTAGTCATCTTTGATTGTATTATCGGCTGATATTTGCTGTAAGTTATGTGTTTACATATCTGTATCTGATGTTGCTCTTGTATAATCTTTAAGGCTCTGACATATGCCTAAGTCCATATTCTATGTAGTAGCTGAATTACTTTTAATATTCTGTTTTTCAGAACCCCCTCGGCCAATAGCACCCCCACAGCTACTTGGAGTTGGGCCAACGTACTTGTTGATTCAGTTGAATGCTAATTCTATTATTGGAGATGGGCCCATTATTCTGAAAGAAGTGGAGTATCATATGACGACTGGGACCTGGACAGAAACCCATGCTGTAAATGCACCAACATACAAGCTGTGGCATTTGGACCCAGACACAGAGTATGAGATCCGCGTTCTTCTAACCAGACCTGGAGAAGGTGGCACTGGTCAGCCGGGCCCTCCCCTTATCACCCGAACCAAATGTGCAGGTATTGTTTGCTGTTCTGGGTGTTATTATGTGTGCACCATGACGGAGGAAAGCCACTATGTTATTCTAGAATGTTCTTCCATTCCTGTAGTCCATATATATCACCATCCTTGGCTTTATAATTTAACTTACCAGCTGAAAAGTCAAATATTTATTACTTGACGAATGACAGGGGATGCTTTTGTTAGTCACAGGAGAAGTAAATGTTTCCTAAGTTTGTGCAGAATCATGGTTGAAAGTATAAAATGCAAATGAAGAGGTCAATAATTTAAATCAAAGCTCACCATTGACTTGCTATGTGAGCTTAGCAAGACACTAGTACACTCCTGCCCTTCATTCTACTTTGTAGAGATACAGTGATGCCTCGCAAGACGAATGCCTTGCGCAACGAAAAACTGGCAGGACGAAAGCATTCTGTGATTTTTTGGTGACTCGCAAGACAAATTTTTCTGTGGCCGTGCTTCACAAGACGAATAAGAACACATTAATTAAATTTCAGTGCATTCCTATGGGAAACCGCGCTTCGCAAGATGAAATTTTCGCAATACGAAACGACCCGTGGAATGAATTATTTTTTTCTTGCGAGGCATCACTGTAGTACTGGCCCCGTCTTTGCTGTCCTTCCACAAGTAGATACTTCAGGCAGCTTTCATTTAAATGACTGGTTGACACAGGGGATTTTTAAAAAAAGGGATTAGGATATTCTGTTCTTCTATTTGTGCTTTTAATATTGTTCTTATTTTTGAGTTTTAATATGATGTGTTTAATTATTTTTAAATATTACAATAATTTATTATTTTAACTTTTAGTCTTTGCTTCTTTTAATACTGTAAGCTGCCTTGGATCCTTTAAGAGAATAAATCAAATAATAATCATGTGCTGTCAAGTCAATTCTGACTTATGGCAACCCTTTTCAGGGTCTTCTTGGTAAAGAACACTCAGAAGTGGTTTACCCTTCCCTTCCTCTTGGGGCTCCCTGGGATTGAGCAGCTTGCCCAAGATCACACAGGCTGGCACTGTGGGGAATTGAACGACCAGTCTCTAGTTTCACAGCCCGGGGCTCCCTGGGATTGAACAGCTTGCCCAAGATCACACAGGCTGGCACTGTGGGGAATTGAACGACCAGTCTCTAGTTTCACAGCCAGACATCCAGCCAGCTCCTTTAGGAGAAAGTATAGAAATTATATTATAGTTAGTTAGTTAGTTAGTTAGTTAGTTAGTTAGTTAGTTAGTTAGTTAGTTAGTTAGTTAGTTAGTTAGTTAGTTTTATAGAAATTATATTATAATTAGTTAGTTAGTTGTTCTTTATGAAATCTTATTAAGATTTCACTGAAATGCCTTGTAAATACTTGAAATCAACATGAAAGACATGGCATATATAGTAATAGTGGCTTATATCTAGAGAAGTTTTAGTTCAATGTAACTTTGCTGCATCTGACTGTGGTAAGGTTCCCTTGACATTTAGTCCAGTCATGTCCGACACTAGGGGACAATGCTCATCCCCGTTTCCAAGCCATAGTATCAGCATTTGCCGATAGACAGTTTCCGTGGTCACATGGCCAGTGCGACTAGACATGGAACGCTGTTACCTTCCTACCGAGGTGGTACCTATTTATCTACTTGCATTTGCATGCTTTCGAACTGCTAGGTTGGCAGGTCTGAGTGTGGTATATTCCCTCAAAAAACCATAGTTCGAGGATTGGAGTTGAGGAGACAAATACACACCCCATGCTTGGGTTGTAGCACAAAGGGCATGATGAGGTGGCAGAAAATGTAGAAACCAGAGAGACTGTTATTGTGTATAAGAGATTGCTTTCTGTTCATGGAGCGAGCTCTTTGGATCCTAGCCAACATAAATTAAAATGCAGTTTTAAATGTCCTTTCCAGCAAGGAAAAAAATGTATAGAAGAGATCTTTTATGTTCAATTTTTTAAAACTGTAAAAGACCTTCAGATATAGGCATTCCTTCTCAAGAGTGTTTCTTTGCTAAACTATCCTGTTGTTTCTTTGTTACCTCTAGATGTTGATGGAATCATGAAAAGCATGTTTTTCAGGTTAGGTTCCCTGTGGTATGTAAAGCAACGCCATACCTTCCAGCAACACAAGAATAATGTGAAAAAGACTCAGATCTTGTAGAAGGAGCAAGCCCCTATAGGAGTTCCTCTCTGCACAGACATCAGTCCTGGAAAAACTGTGTGGATTCAAGAGTGTGGAGAAGCTGCTGAACTCTTAAGAGCAGGCTTCTTTACCAGACCTCTGATACAGCCTAAGGACCCAGTGTCAGAGTAGTCTACAAATGGAATAGTAGTGATTCAATACATGCTGCTTTTATAGTCTTTTTGCTCCTTAATGGCGGGGGTTAGAGGGAATCTCAACTGCTGAAGCAGAAGTCAAGGCCAACTCTCAGGTCACTTTGGCTCACAGGAATGTGTGTGCCTTTTTTCTTCTTCCAAAGCCCACAGATGATGCCACATCTGTTGCTCGAGTTCTGGTTAATTGAAAATGCAAGACACAAAAAGCAAAGTAACCCCAGAGTCATGTGAGAACTGTGTAGTTTTTCCTGGTGCTGTCCTAGATATGAGTGCTATAATCCTTTTGGAGAGTCAGGGGGATTCAGAAAGCAGTGGTTGCGAGCATTCCTGATAAGGGACAGGCCCACAAGCTGCATCTTGTTATGCTGGGCTACCTTGTGTTAATGCTTTTTATTTTGAAAATAAAACACTGTGTTTCTCGAGAACTCCCGGTTCTCTAGCTCTGTCTACTCAATCCCCTACATGTGAGAACTGTGTAGTTTTTCCTGGTGCTGTCCTAGATATGAGTGCTATAATCCTTTTGGAGAGTCAGGGGGATTCAGAAAGCAGTGGTTGCGAGCATTCCTGATAAGGGACAGGCCCACAAGCTGCATCTTGTTATGCTGGGCTACCTTGTGTTAATGCTTTATTATTTTGAAAATAAAACTCCCAGTTCTCTAGCTCTGTCTACTCAATCCCCTAAACAAATTAAAGCTCAGCTAGAACCATTCTGAAAAAGCCTACTGCCCTGAAATTTGAAGTACACGATGTTATTACCACCCGAGGATTCATGTGTCAATCTTGGATCGGGTAACGCTCACCAATAACCACCCTGCTGTGGGTGCATATCAGTGTTCTGTCTTCTCTTAAATATTTTATTGATTGATGCAAACATAAGTATAGAGGCTTCAGCTAACATCTTTGATTATAACGTTGAAGCTACAACTGAAAAAAAAAAAAACAAATTATTTCACCGCTTCCAGATAAGTATACAGGAGAGCGAAGCTACTTATCCTGGAAGTATTGCTTATTGTTGTTTAGACCTGATAGGCTAGCTCAGTGTGCTACATTTTAAAAGGAACACACTCCATTGTTGTTGCTGTTGATCAGTAGCAGACCATATAATTGTCTTACCAGCATCTACAAAAATAGTACAATTATTACTAGTGTGTTGCCATTAGAGTTACTGGTGCAATCACTGGAAAATTCACTGTGTTAACAAAATAGAGTGGCTGTAGTCATACCGTAGCCTTTGACCATAGATTGAACTGGAGATATGATATTTGACCATAGTAAGGTAATACTTTGGTCACAATGATTAAGATGCTGAATAGCTCAGTGATTTAGGTATCTTATATCTAAGTGAAAGCCAGATTTCAATTTCTCACTGTGCCTCTTGAGCAGGGACTAGACTTGATGATCCACAGGGTCCCTTCCAGCCCTGCAGTTTTAAGATGATATTGTTGACGATGATTAGTTATCTTTTGTTCACTAAAATCCGTGTGTAATAAGAAACGTGTCCTTTATTTTTAGGCTTTATCATTCATATATAGTGCCACCCATGAAAAGGCAATTAACCTAATCACATAAATAAATAAAAAAAGAGAGCAAAAAACTAGTTACTAGAAGGAAGTCATGTGCAAACACCATTTTCACAGGGGGGGAGCAAGTTACATAAAACTATGCCAGATCCTGATTATTATAACATTATATTTGACCATCATTGCATATTTTAAGAAGAACTTCAGCTGTGAAACAGAGTTAAACAATTACATTTACAATCCCAAACATACTTCCTGAAAGTGAATGAAAGGTTAATGTACAAGTAGATTACATTATGTTTTTTATCATTTATGTGGCCTTCCAGATGTTACTGGAGCCATCCTGGCCCTAGCCTGCATAGGCACTGGAATGGATATGGGAGTTCTAATTCAGCAACATCATTCCCCATTCCTGGATTGAATACCTATGGAAAAATACTGAACTTCAGATGTTTATTTTGAGCGCACAGGTTATACAGGGCACACTGAATTATTAGTAGGGATGTGTTAGAAAACTTCTGCACATTGTTTTACTTTGAAGACAATATTTTCTATTTCTGTTTCTATTTTAAGATAAATTGAAAATGACTTTTTTTGTAATGAAAACTTCAAAAACTTTTTTTATGATATTTTCTTCTGCTTTTCACTTTTAAAATATCTGTGCAGTAGCACTATACTTTTAAGTACCAAACATGTTATCCTTAAGAAGTAACGCCATTAGTCCATTTTGACAGTGATTTTCAATAATTGATAGATTTGGCAGAAAGGAGTATTATTATATTAGGTTATTTAACTTCCCCAGGCTGCTCTAACTTGTGTCATCCCACTGCAATTTTGAGGCTACAGAAAATCTCAATGTAAAAAAGTTACATCCGCAGTTGCATTAAAAGTTGATCTTGTTAACAGCAAGTTCTAGACTTATGTGTTTAGCGTCTGTGCACCAGGGATGAGCAGTGCCTGTGTACCTAAGTAAAGTCACTGAGAGTGAACTGATGAGGCTCCCTTGCTTTTAAGTTATTTTGACAGGAGAAATCCCATTATGACGTCATTTATTTATTTAAAATATTTTACCCTGTCTTTCTCCTTGAAAAAGACCCAAGGCGGCTTACCACAATGAAAGGCAATATTTAAAGTTGAAAACAGTGAGCATACAATGGTGGTTAATATAA